GTTGTTGGGTGTTATTGCAATAGGGCTGGTTACCAATTAGACCTCCCCCCCCCACCACTCCCTCTGCTCCATCACCACCCAGCCCTAGGGTGTGTGTGGGTGTGTGTGTGTGTGTGTGTGTGTGTGTGTGTGTGTGTGTGTGTGTGTGTGTGTGTGTGTGTGTTTACAGCCAGGTGTCCGTGTTCAGCCCCCCCCCCCCCCCCCTGCATTGTGTTAACAGGTATTGCCTCACAGTATCAAAACTGTTAAGGGTAATTAACCAGGGAACAACACAGTAGGCATCATTGTTTAGTCATGGCCAGTTAAACCTGCTCTCTGCGATCAATACTTGGCTGTGCACACACTGCCCTTCCGCTAATTGTGAGGTATTTTGGGATGAGAGAGAGAGAGAGAGAGAGAGAGAGAGAGAGAGAGAGAGAGAGAGAGAGAGAGATGCCTGTGAAAGACAGGGAGAGAAAGGGGAAGATATCAGAGGGAAAATGCGGTCCTTTACCTTTTCAACTTTGCGAATATTATGGAAAGCCGCCGAAATCCACGTATCGTTCAACGGGGCTAAGATTAGGGTGAGAGAAAGAGAGGGCGCGAGAGAGAGGAGGAGAGAGGGAGAGGGAACGTGAGAGCAATGGAGCGTTAGAATATGAGTGAGAAAAGCTTTTAGTGTTGTCAATACAACATGAGACGTCCGTCGCATATCATCGACGACAAAGCATATATATACACAATGGCCCGTAGGTGAAGAGCCTGTTGGTGGTCCAGACGGGCTGACAGTGGACCCCTGGAAGACCCGCAGACAGCTGCTATATGGCACTACACGGGCCTATCATCCCCGGCCAACACCTACATTGGCTGCAGTATTGCACATCCGGGTGGTGATGCCACTCACAGGGAATCACTTGAGCCTCGTGAGTACAGAGACCTGCAGCAACACTACAGTTTTGTCCCCATTGCTCCCGAGGCACTTGGCACCTGGGGTCAAAATGCCACTAGTTTTTTTAAGGATCGGGCTCTAAGTCAATCGAAGCAAGAACACACCTTTGAACCGTTAGGGTTCCTCTCCCCACCACCTGAGGAGCTGCAGGAACTCACAACCTGTAACAACTAACTTTGTACCTTGTGTGTAACCAATGTTGTAACCAAATTTGTATAATAAAGTTTAAAATAAAAGAAAATAATTACAAATGTACAGGGGTGGTAGGAGAAAATATGCGAGCACAAGTGGGAGCCCCACAAGGCCCCCCCGAGTGCTGAGTATCCTCTTCTGTGAGGCTGAGGGTTCGTACCAACAACCACAGATTATATTACCCTTATTATATAAAACCCTTATTATATAAAATAGTTATATAGTTATAAAATAGTAAATAGTGTATTCCACAGATGCATTTCTATGCTGACCAACGTCCGTAATATCTTCAGGAATTTGAACAATGAAGCCTTCTGATACCGAGTTGATGGGGTTCTGGGATTTCTTCTACTCCCCAAGCCCGGCCCGAGGCCAGGCTTGACTTGTGAGAGTTTGGTCCACCAGGCTGTTGCTTGAAGCGGCCCGCAGGCCCACATACCCACAGCCCGGTTGGTCCGGCACTCCTTGAAGAAAACAATCTAGTTTTCTCTTGAAGATGTCCACGGTTGTTTCCGCAATATTTCTGATGCTCGCTCGTGAGTTATATAAAAAACAACTTCGTGAGAACAACTCTTGAGTATGCAGCCCCAAATACATGCAGCAAGGGCCGCTTCTGAGCTGAGGGGACAGAGCTACGAGGCAAAATAGAGAACCTTCCCAAGTTGGAGGGAAGGGAATTATCAGGGGAAAGCGCCAAACCATCACGACTATACAGCACTTGGAACGGGTGAGGAAAAGGATTTGGGATGGGACAGTGGGGGGGGGGGGTAAGAAATGGTGCCCAACCACTTGGATTGTTGGGGATTGAACGCCGACCTGCATGAAGTGAGACCGTCGCTCTACCCTCCAGCCCAAGTGGTAGAGGAGGAGGAGGAATAGGGGGATATGATTACGACATCCAACATCCCCAGGGAAAGTTTACTAGACAAGCAGTGTTCAAAAGTAGGAACAGCGAAACAGTGGCGTGAATAGCATCTAGAGAGACAGACGAGTCATAATGTTCATTAAGATCACTTGCAGTGTTATTTGTAAATAGGTGAATACAGAGTATGGGAGGAATAGGTGAACACGGTGAACACAACCACCTGCACCCGAGTACATGGGAGGACAGGTAGCTGAACACGGTGAACACAACCACCTGCACCCGAGTACATGGGAGGACAGGTAGCTGAACACGGTGAACACAACCACCTGCACCCGAGTACATGGGAGGACAGGTAGGTGAACACGGTGAACACAACCACATGCACCCGAGTACATGGGAGGACAGGTAGCTGAACACGGTGAACACAACCACATACACCCGAGTACATGGGAGGACAGGTAGCTGAACACGGTGAACACAACCACATGCACCCGAGTACATGGGAGGACAGGTAGCTGAACACGGTGAACACAACCACATACACCCGAGTACATGGGAGGACAGGTAGGTGAACACGGTAAACACAACCACATGCACCCGAGTACATGGGAGGACAGGTAGGTGAACACTGAACATGGTGAACACAACCACATGCACCCGAGTACATGGGAGGACAGGTAGCTGAACACGGTGAACACAACCACATGCACCCGAGTACATGGGAGGACAGGTCACTATACACACAGTGAACGCAATATTGCTCCTTCACTTCCAAATAATTTGTTACAATTTTCGTATTTTTTTGTTTAATACTGATCGAATGAAATTAAACAAAAAAATCCTGGTGGAAATGAGCAGAATTAACTACTTAGTTGGTGTGCTCAAAACTCAACATTTCGCTACAAATGCCTGATGATTTTGGTGGCCAGAGTTACGTTATTGTTTTTTAACCTGATTAACACTCCGCTCATCAAATTCCAACTCCGTCAACTCGAAAAAAAAACAAAAAAATTATCAATTCTACAGGAAAACGGGACATTTTTACAAGTTTGTGGCAATGGACGTATAAGTGAAGGAATTGTCCTCTGCTGATAATGGCCAGAGGGAAGGTTGAGGCCAGCAGACACCCCACGACATGACCACCAGACACCACCACGACATGACCAGCAGACACCACCACCACCACGACATGACCAGCAGACACCACCACGACATGACCACCAGACACCACCACCACGACATGACCAGCAGACACCACCACCACCACGACATGACCAGCAGACACCACCACCACGACATGACCACCAGACACCACCACCACGACATGACCACCAGACACCACCACCACCACGACATGACCACCAGACACCACCACCACGACATGACCACCAGACACCACCACCACCACGACATGACCACCAGACACCACCACCACGACATGACCAGCAGACACCACCACGACATGACCACCAGACACCACCACCACCACCACGACATGACCACCAGACACCACCACCACCACGACATGACCACCAGACACCACCACCACCACCACGACATGACCACCAGACACCACCACCACCACGACATGACCAGCAGACACCACCACGACATGACCACCAGACACCACCACCACCACGACATGACCAGCAGACACCACCACGACATGACCACCAGACACCACCACCACCACGACATGACCACCAGACACCACCACCACCACCACGACATGACCACCAGACACCACCACCACCACCACGACATGACCACCAGACACCACCACCACCACCACGACATGACCACCAGACACCACCACCACCACCACGACATGACCACCAGACACCACCACCACCACGACACGACATGACCACCAGACACACCACCACACCACCACGACATGACCACCAGACACCACCACCACCACGACATGACCAGCAGACACCACCACGACATGACCACCAGACACCACCACGACATGACCACCAGACACCACCACGACATGACCACCAGACATGACCACCACCACCACCACGACATGACCAGCAGACACCACCACGACATGACCAGCAGACACCACCACGACATGACCAGCAGACACCACCACGACATGACCACCAGACACCACCACGACATGACCACCAGACACCACCACGACATGACCACCAGACACCACCACGACATGACCACCAGACACCACCACCCACCACCACCACGACATGACCACCAGACACCACCACGACATGACCACCAGACACCACCACCACCACCACGACATGACCACCAGACACCACGACATGACCACCAACACCACCAGACACCACCACGACATGACCACCAGACACCACCACGACATGACCACCAGACACCACCACCACCACCACGACATGACCACCAGACACCACCACCACGACATGACCACCAGACACCACCACCACCACCACCACCACGACATGACCACCAGACACCACCACCACCACGACATGACCACCAGACACCACCACCACCACCACCACGACATGACCACCAGACACCACCACCACCACCACGACATGACCACCAGACACCACCACCACCACCACGACATGACCACCAGACACCACCACCACCACCACGACATGACCAGCAGACACCACCACCACCACCACGACATGACCACCAGACACCACCACCACGACATGACCACCAGACACCACCACCACCACCACGACATGACCACCAGACACCACCACCACCACCACGACATGACCAGCAGACACCACCACCACGACATGACCACCAGACACCACCACCACGACATGACCAGCAGACACCACCACCACGACATGACCACCAGACACCACCACCACGACATGACCACCAGACACCACCACCACGACATGACCACCAGACACCACCACCACCACGACATGACACCTGCTAACCCACCTTACAACACCACTCTGCCTGAGGCGGTGGAAGCAGCGGTGCTCCTCGCCAGAGATCTTAGCCAGGTATTAAATGACATCTACGGGACAGGCAGCCAGCCAGCAGGTAGCACCTCAGTACCTGACAGGTGGCGCCCAGGTGAACCACCTGACAGGTGGCGCCCAGGTGAACCACATGACAGGTGGCGCCCAGGTGAACCACCTGACAGGTGGCGCCCAGGTGAACCACCTGACAGGTGGCGCCCAGGTGAACTACATGACAGGTGGCGCCCATTCGTCATACTTAACAGACAAGTTGAACCATTTGGGGATTAATCAATTGGAAAACACCTGAGGGATTAATTAGCTGATACATTATCAGTGAGATTAATTCAGCGGCACAGCAGCCGGAGTATGGACCAGCGGCACAGCAGCCGGAGTATGGACCAGCGGCACAGCAGCCGGAGTATGGACCAGCGGCACAGCAGCCGGAGTATGGACCAGCGGCACAGCAGCCGGAGTATGGATCAGCGGCACAGCAGCCGGAGTATGGACCAGCGGCACAGCAGCCGGAGTATGGACCAGTGACACAGCAGCTGGAGTATGGACCAGTGACACAGCAGCTGGAGTATGGACCAGTGACACAGCAGCCGGAGTATGGACCAGTGACACAGCAGCCGGAGTATGGACCAGTGACACAGCAGCCGGAGTATGGACCAGTGACACAGCAGCCGGAGTATGGACCAGTGACACAGCAGCCGGAGTATGGACCAGTGACACAGCAGCCGGAGTATGGACCAGTGACACAGCAGCCGGAGTATGGACCAGTGACACAGCAGCCGGAGTATGGACCAGTGACACAGCAGCCGGAGTATGGACCAGTGACACAGCAGCTGGAGTATGGACCAGTGGCACAGCAGCCGGAGTATGGACCAGCGGCACAGCAGCCGGAGTATGGACCAGCGGCACAGCAGCCGGAGTATGGACCAGCGGCACAGCAGCCGGAGTATGGACCAGTGGCACAGCAGCCGGAGTATGGACCAGTGGCACAGCAGCCGGAGTATGGATCAGCGGCACAGCAGCCGGAGTATGGATCAGCGGCACAGCAGCCGGAGTATGGACCAGTGACACAGCAGCCGGAGTATGGACCAGTGACACAGCAGCCGGAGTATGGACCAGTGACACAGCAGCTGGAGTATGGACCAGTGACACAGCAGCCGGAGTATGGACCAGTGACACAGCAGCCGGAGTATGGACCAGTGACACAGCAGCCGGAGTATGGACCAGTGACACAGCAGCCGGAGTATGGACCAGTGACACAGCAGCATGAGTATGGACCAGTGTGACGGTAACGCGTTGTGTTCGGCTGTTCAAAGCTAGTTGTATGGCCTCGTCACATAGTATTAAAAAAAAATAGAAAATCTGGAACTTCGTCTGTGGTAAGGTAAGGAGAAGACACACAAAACACAAGTAAACTTTAACAATGAAATTTTAATTACGTTAAATTAACAAAACATGAATAAAATGGTCAAACAAATTCGTATAATAAAATAAATCAATCAAAATAATAAGAATAATTAAATGACACAATGAAAAGTTACGTTAAGACAAAATAACAAGAAGTGCAATATACAAGTAAATGAAAGGTGCTGGAATATTGGCTTTAAGCTATCACCTCTCTTAGTACACGTACGCCAAAGCTTACGTCTAGCAGGGAGAAGTGTTAACTGTGAAAGCACGGAATATTCTGAGGACTGAGGTCGTGGCGGCCCCAGACATCAAGTAGTATGGTGGCGAGTGCAGTTGCAGCCAGACCGGCGACCAATCAGCGGGGAGCCGGCAGTAAGACAGGTAGTTTGGCGGTTTGATTCTGAGCAGGTGTCCCTGGCTGCATACGTTTTGCGCTCTGGCAAACCTTGCTGGTGTTGTTGTCGTTGTTGGACATTTCTTCCATAGTAGTTTTATATAGTTGTAACGACGTAATTGTGGAGGGAAGAGCAGGCTCAATCTCTTGAAGGAGATTATCGTCACACCAGTGACACAGCAGCCGGAGTATGGACCAGTGACACAGCAGCCGGAGTATGGACCAGTGACACAGCAGTATGGACCAGTGACACAGCAGCCGGAGTATGGACCAGTGACACAGCAGTATGGACCAGTGACACAGCAGTATGGACCAGTGACACAGCAGTATGGACCAGTGACACAGTATGGAGCAGTGACACAGCCGGAGTATGGACCAGTGACACAGCAGCCGGAGTATGGACCAGTGACACAGCAGTCGGTGTATGGATGGACCAGTGACACAGCAGCCGGAGTATGGACCAGTGACACAGCAGCGGTGTATGGACCAGTGACACAGCCGGAGTATGGACCAGTGACACAGCAGTTTGGACCAGTGAGTATGGACCAGTGAGCCAGGACCAGCAGCCGGAGTATGGACCATGACACAGCAGTATGACCAGTGACACAGTAGTATGGACCAGTGACACAGCAGTATGGACCAGTGACACAGCAGCTGGAGTATGGACCAGTGACACAGCAGCCGGAGTATGGACCAGTGACACAGCAGTATGGACCAGTGACACAGTAGTATGGACCAGTGACACAGCAGTATGGACCAGTGACACAGCAGCTGGAGTATGGACCAGTGACACAGCAGCCGGAGTATGGACCAGTGACACAGTAGTCGGTGTATGGACCAGTGACACAGCAGCCGGAGTATGGACCAGTGACACAGCGGCCGGAGTACGGACCAGTGACACAGCAGTTTGGACCAGTGACACAGCAGCCGGAGTATGGACCAGTGACACAGCAGCCGGTGTATGGACCAGTGACACAGCGGCCGGAGTATGGACCAGTGACACAGCAGCCGGTGTATGGACCAGTGACACAGCGGCCGGTGTATGGACCAGTGACACAGCAGTATGGACCAGTGACACAGCAGCTGGAGTATGGACCAGTGACACAGCAGCCGGAGTATGGACCAGTGACACAGCAGCCGGAGTATGGACCAGTGACACAGCAGCCGGAGTATGGACCAGTGACACAGCAGCCGGAGTATGGACCAGCGACACAGCAGCAGGAGTATGGACCAGTGACACAGCAGCCGGAGTATGGACCAGCGACACAGCAGCCGGAGTATGGACCAGTGACACAGCAGCCGGAGTATGGACCAGTGACACAGCGGCCGGAGTATGGACCAGTGACACAGCAGTATTGGTAATCAGGAAGCTCTACGCTTGCAGGATTAATAAGTTAAATTAATCAGCTGGTACAACGCCCTTGGAATTAATCAGAGTAAAACATCAAATGGATTAACTAGCCGACACAAACACCAGCAGGGATTACCCGGCACTAGCAGGGATTACCCGGCACTAGCAGGGATTACCCGGCACTAGCAGGGATTACCCGGCACTAGCAGGGATTACCCGGCACTAGCAGGGATTACCCGGCACTAGCAGGGATTACCCGGCACTAGCAGGGATTACCCGGCACTAGCAGGGATTACTAGCACTAGCAGGGATTACTCGCACTAGCAGGGATTACCCAGCACTAGCAGGGATTACCCGGCACTAGCAGGGATTACTCGGCACTAGCAGGGATTACCCGGCACTAGCAAGGATTACCCAGCACTAGCAGGGATTACCCAGCACTAGCAGGGATTACCCGGCACTAGCAGGGATTACCCAGCACTAGCAGGGATTACCCAGCACTAGCAGGGATTACCCAGCACTAGCAGGGATTACCCAGCACTAGCAGGGATTACCAAACGCATGCAGTACTAGTAGGGATTAAGCAGCAGCCCGAATAACAAATAAATTTTATATGGTGTATGATATACATGATGATGAGGTACGTGTGTTGTGTGTATACTGGAGGCAGGTGTGTAGTGATACATTAGCGTGGAGCAGGTGTGTGTGCGTGAGGTAGAGACCTGTAGGACTCCCACCACAGGACTTCCAGGGATGTGTTCCCGTCGGCCTGGCTGCTCCACCTCTCACTCCCGCACTCTAAACTGCGGGTGGTGGTGAACGGCAGCGGGGTGGGGAGGGTGGTGAACGGCAGCGGGGGTGGGGAGGGGTGTGAACGGCAGCAGGGGTGGGGAGGGTGGGTGGTGAACGGCAGCGGTGGTGGGGAGGGTGGTGAACGGCAGCGGGGGTGGGGAGGGTGGTGAACGGCAGCGGGGGTGGGGGGTGGGGAGGTGGGGAGGGTGGTGAACGGCAGCGGGGGTGGGGAGGGTGGTGAACGGCAGCGGTGGTGGGGAGGGGTGTGAACGGCAGCGGGGGTGGGGAGGGAGGTGGGTGAACGGCAGCGGTGGTGGGGAGGGGGTGGTGAACGGCAGCGGGGGTGGGGAGGGGGGGTGGTGAACGGCAGCGGGGGTGGGGAGGGGGGTGGTGAACGGCAGCGGGGGTGGGGAGGGGGGGTTTTGAACGGCAGCGGGGGGGTGGGGGGGGGGGTG